CGAAAACATTGGTGAATGCCACAAATTCTCCTAAATCACTCGTACGCACAACTTAAGAACAAATCTGTGCGTACGAACGGTTCTTGCATGAGGCCCATTGTGTTTAAAATTCTGATAGTTCTTTGATGAAAAACAAACAAACTGTAGTATCAGGTCTGGTGTCACACCTCTAGTTAGCGACACCTTGACCTCCATCAAACCATTTTCTACTGTCATTCATGCCCGTTTCTCTTTTTGTTCTGGCTGAAGTGGTTTACCTTTTAAAGGTTGCCATGGTTATCATTTTCCAAACGCTCTTTCCTTTCTAAACTGTTTGAAAAATAATTATTTTAAAAAATCCAACCACATTCATGGGCACAAACTATATTGCTGAAGCTATTTAGTCATGTTTTAAAGCCCACCTAGCAGTGTTGTAAAGACCATCCAGACAACAGTCAAGTGTAGGCTGCTAATGTTTCAAGACGTTCTTTCATTCCCTTTCGTCCTTGTTTCCTTCCTTCCTTTGTTTCCTTCTTGTCTTGTAAGAGCTAAAGGCTATAAAAATAGCCCAAATTAGCTTACATACCATTTGACACACAGTAACAAAAGTGACATTCAGTGAACTTGTAGTACGTTACGAGTCTCATTTTACCTTTATCTTTTCCATCGTAACATAGAGTTAATAATAGAACAAATTATAACCATAACACAAACATTTGAACACTTCCAGCAGTAAAACATTTTAAAATAAACAAAACCTTGCTCCCATTCCAGCCTGGCTCTAAGTAAAGAGTGTAAAACCTTAAGCTAGGTTTATAGTTGATGTGTCGAGCCGGGCATGAGTGGTCATGCGCCAATAGTGATGCAATCGCTCCGTCCCCGCCCCTGTGCRGTGGCCCCGCCCCTGTGCATTGGCCCCGCCCCTGTGCGTTGGCCCTGCCCCGCCCAAAGCGTGCTCTTGCACTTCTGGATTTTTTTCAAATAGTTTGTTTGTCTGTGTAGCTTTTGCTCTCCTACTTACAACATTTTCACAAGTTATAAAGTGTACTGCCACGTGTCCTTTTGGAGAATACTACAATAATTTAATGTCAAGTATAACACCTACAATGCTGGCGACAKTCAGCTGCAGATAACAGCGCAGGCTGCATCACAAGGAAGGAGGAAACGGGGGGGACACGCACGGACCTATTTCTAGCTGAAATACGGGGCAATGACTGGGTTATTTAATCTTTTTTTTTCTAGCATCCTAGGCTCTGATAAAAAAAAATGTGAAGCTGTGTCCATGAGCTTGATCTAAAGGTCTGTGTTCCTGCTAAATGAGGGAAAATCTGTGTAATTGATGGACATTCTGTCCATGTGAGCAGTAGTCAGCAAGTGTCATCTTCCAGACGCACGACGGAGCGCGTGCCTGAGCCGGCCAATCGCTTTTTTGACATTGATCAGCTGACTGATTGATTTAAATACATCTTAACATTCATGAGGTACTTTGCATTGACAGTTAATGGTTGAGTGTGAGCATGTAGAGGGCAGAACCTGAGGCGGGACCTTGTGGCAAACTCTGAGGTGCGGCTGTGATCTATGAAGGTTTTTTTTTCTTTTGCGTACACCATTTTCATCTTTTGGCCGTACATTCACTTTTAGTATGGTTTCCACGCAGTCCTTTATAAATGAGGCCCTTGGGAGCTTATGTTTTACTGATCTCTTAGTATGATTTAAAATCAAAGACATCACTTAAAGAGATAACTTGGTCATTTTATATTAGATTTTTTACCACTTTTGTTTTTCATTTTCATATTTTTAGAAAGTTATTTACATCATTATTTCATTTAGCCTGGACCACTGTAACAGCCTTTACTCTGATATCACTAAAATAATGTATTGCTGTGGTTGCATGTAAACTTTAGAACAGCCTGTCCTTTCACATCAGGATTATGACCAACTGTTAACTTGACCTGACAACGATTTGAGTAGAAGAATAATGTCTGTGCTTTTCTCTGTTGTGCAGTGTTCAGTCAAGGAGATAAAGGCACCTCCTGGTACATCATCTGGAAAGGCTCAGTGAACGTGATCACTCATGGGAAGGTAAATTTATGCGCAGTGTTCAAAGAAACCTAAAAATTGAATCAATTAGTTTATGATGCTGATGGTGCTGCATTCACACAGGGTCTTGTGACCACGCTGCACGAGGGTGAAGACTTTGGGCAGCTAGCTTTGCTGAATGATGCACCGCGCGCTGCCACCATCATCCTGAGAGAAGACAACTGCCACTTCCTTCGAGTTGATAAACAGGATTTTATCCGAATCCTCAAGGTTTGTCTGACAACCTAATGTGTGCAGCATTAGAACTCCTGACTGAGACACCAATGATGCTTCAAATCGAGCAGGAACGCATTTAGCCTGAGAGGTTTTCTTGGTGAGCATCAACAACAGAAACCAAAAATGTGTTTGTCCATCCTCCAGGATGTGGAGGCTAACACGGTGCGGCTGGAGGAGCATGGAAAGACTGTGCTGGTGTTGGAGAAGAGTGAAAACTCATCTGAACAGGGAGGAGCTGGAGCCAACAGCAAGTGAGAAGCATCAACTTTCAAAACTGACAAAATTCAGTTGTCATTTACCATTCAGTTGTTAAAAAACTAAACAAATCAGCTTATTATATGACCTCCTATTTTAAATACAAATCTACAATCAGACTGTAATCAAACACAAAGAAGCAATCGGACAGGGAGTCAGAGGCAATAACAGGAAGGTTGGTGTGGATTCTGTCTCTGTAAAGAATCTCATGTAGTCTTCAGTTATAGGGGTGCTTGGCTCAACAGGGATTGGACTTTTCATAAGTCTAGCCACAGTTCTGAACAGAAACCTGGGATTGTTTTTATTCTCTTCTGTTAAAGATGAATAATACACAATGTATTCATCTAGAATATTTCTGAATAAATACACTACCTGGCCCAAAACAAAGTGTCCACCTGGATTTAACTAAGGTCYATGATGTGGGGTTGCTGCAGTTGGTCAGGTTCAGTTTCAGCAACAGTTTGTGCTCAAAGAATGAGGTCAGCTGACCTGAATATACTGAATGACCAGGTTATTATTCCATCAATGGATTGTTTCTTCACTGATGCCACGACCATATTCCAAGATGACAATGTCAGGATTCATGGAGCTTGAATTGTGAATAAGTGGTTCAGGGAGCATGAGACATCATTTTCACACATGGATTGGTTCCACAGAGTCCATTGAGAATCTTTGAGATGTGCTGGAGAAGGTCAGACTCTACCATCATCAATGACAGATCTTGGTGAAAAATTAATGCAACACTGGATGGAAATAAATCTGATGACATTGAAGATGCTTGTCCAAACAATGGCACAGTGACTGTGTGCCGTAATCAGAGCTAAAGGTGGTCCAATTAAATATTAGAGTGTGACCTTTTTTTTTTGGCCAGGCAGTTGTAGTGGTCACCTCAAGTGGAACAACAAGAAAACTGTCTCTGACCGCAGGCCTCTGATGGGCCCTTTAAAGAGACAGAACTCTGTTTTACTTCAAACTGATTGTAGGCCACAACAGGTCATCTTAACCAACAAAGAGACATTCTCTTTTTCTTAATCAGATAATAAACAGAATAATCTTCTTTTTATTTGATTTATTCTTCTCTTAACTAAGAGTTTTTATGTGTTTCGATAGTCAGAAACTGTTTTTCAGGAATCCYACACAGTGTATAATTCTGATGTTATTTTTGTGCAGGTATACAGTTATGTCAGGAACACCGGAGAAAATCCTGGAACACCTGCTGGAAACGATGAAGCTGGACTTAAATGGAAATGATCCCATAGGTAGGAGTCACCACACAAATATTTTTAATATTATTATTATAGTATTTCAAGGAACTCAGACCATCTGACAAGTTGTTTGTTGATGTTTGTGTCCTTGCAGATCCCTGTATCAGTGACTTTCTGCTCACCTATAAAGTCTTCATGTCTTCCAGTCAACTCTGTGCTGCTTTGCAAAATCAATATCCAGTTTTACTCAACAAAGATACAGCTTTATAGTATCTAACAGTCAGAACGATCATGTTCCTGTCTTTCATGTTACACCCTTAACCACCATTGCACATACCAGGCAGAGCTGTCTGAAGGCTCTGAACAGGAGAAGGACGCCTATGTTCTCAACACCAAGCAGAAGGTAGTGAAGCTGATTGGCCAATGGGTGGCGCTGTACAGCTTTCTGCTGAAAGAAGATCCAGTTACTTTGGACTTCTTAGAGGTGAGCTGTCAGGATCAGGATCTATCACATTTTCAATAAAAGTGACATCATTCATACATAATTTGGGTGTTTGAATATTTTTTAAGTTTTGTTTTGACTGAAACAGAGAATGAAAAAGGAGGTGGCAGCTGACTGTCGACTGTCCAACATTCTGAAAGAGCAGTTTAAAGAGAGACGGAGAACGAAAATGTAAATGTTCGCTCATAACCTAAGCTTATTTTGGCACAAATATGTATTTATATGTACATACATATTTATATATGTATGTATTTTATTCATTCATTTATCCATTCTTAACCTGTTTTTTTTACACCTTGCAAGGTTGGAGAATGGTTATCAGTCACTGAGCAGGGTGAGCTTCACATAACTTTTGCCATGTATGACCAAGAATTATATCAGAGGTATGTTTAACCAGAATATCTGGATATCTTTATCTGTGAGCCATTTTGTTGCCATCAACAGAATCAGCAGTTTGATTGGTTTTCACACTGTGAGGAGCCATCAGGGAGGGTCCTGCCCATCAGATCACAGGATAAAGGTGAGAAAAACAAACTCACTGAATCAATCAGTGAAATCAGCAATATTATATATTACACTGTAATACATTACACTGTGCAACACTGTAGCTGTGTCCGAAGCATGAGTAGCTTCCAATAAGAG